TTTTTGGATTTTCCAGATCTGTGAGAAAAAAAATGAATTTCAACTTGTGCTTGAGAGTAGAGAATCGCCTGTGTTTGTGAGTGAACATAAAGTTAACTTGGATCACACACACCCAGTGAGAGGCCAAAAGAAAAACTTCAATCTCATTCCTTTTCAGGCTGATCAGATCTTCAGATTTTGGCTTAGCTTTGTCAGGGTTAGCTTTGGCTGCCATTTTATGGTCGCAAAGCTCCGAGATTCATTGAATCAAATGTTGCCATAGGAGCAGATGCTGAGCAGATGTGTGATATAAAGAGCAGATAACATACAGACCACCTCCCAGGCAACTAAAGCACACATACACTGGCACAGTAGGAGGTCCTTTCAGAAATTGCAGATTAACCAGCAGATCAGTGTTGAATCCGAGCCCCAGATTCTGCCTGTAACCCCAGAGTTGGTTAACAACTAAAGGTCATAATAGCTCCCCAAATCTCTTCAGTCACGCAGAGGCTTGGGATTTTATACTGAAGTATTACTGAACAATCTGCCACACAAACATACTGTGATAATGTAGGATGGAACGTGTGTATGGTGTGTCGGTACAGCTGAATCTCATCTAGCATGTATGCAGGAAGCAAAGATGGCAGAGCCTACTGAGTTTTGTGATCCACTGGTTCAGTCACGTATTCGCTGCTTTTAAAATGTAAAAATCAACACGTATTTTTTTGGCTAGTTGTTAAAAGTATTTTTTTGGAATTGTAAACAGGGAGGGTTTGTTGAGTCCAAGTTTATTATTTAGGCAACCACTTTGCCCAGTGCAAAACTCTGACGGTTTGCATGAACACGAAGACTCTTCTCTGGATCTGTTTCCATCCAACTGTAATCCAAATTTTAAATGAACTTCTAAAATGTGGATGAATAGAAAACCAAATAAGAAAATGTAAGCTAATTGAATTTATATGTATTGGTTTGGAGCGAATCAATTAGGGTACACAAAGTGTAACTGTTGATGATACACTGGGCTGTGATAAGCAGGAAGTAGAGGTTGCTAACTAGCATGGACCAAACATCTAAAAAAAAAAAAAGCAGAATCTTCCCCTCCGAGCCAAAAGTTTGGACTTTGTCCGTTTCATTCCTCTGGTAAGGACAGATGCATTTGCTTCCTCATAACTTATTTGGTGAATGTGTTTCTATTTCTTCTTTAGCACATCGACACTTTTGCGAAATTGATGGAGTTGTTTAAAATTTTGCCATTTCCATTAACCTTGACTTCAAAATATGCATAAAAAAACATTGATGGAATCACGGATAATATGGAAATTTAGTGTGGAAAAAAGACTCAAAGTTAACTATTATCAGTTTAAAGCTAGGCACAGCACTATGTCCTGTGTTTCCTTTGTTGGCATCAAGTTCTATGTGTTAGATTAGGAACACACTGTTAAGGCAAATACCTCCACTAACTGTAAAAGTACACAGAGACCAAAATTAATATAATATGCTAAAGATCTGTAATTCATTGATTGCTTATTGTGATTTGTTTAAGTTCACTCTGTGCTGCTAAACGTGATATTTTTATACTATTTTACTTTGCATCACTGACGTTAAATAGGTTAAAGTGGAACTGCAGCCATGCAGAGAGAACATCTGGCTGTATGGAGTCTGTGCGTTGAACTTCCGCCTTAACACACTCATATTGGGCTTAATCGGCGTTGGGGAGGGTGAGTGTGTGTGGGATTAGTGCCAGTAGGCCGTGGTGTCTTTTGAGCTCATGTGCGGTCCCGCCACATGTCGGACTGTCTGTGCAAACGACCGACGCAGTAACACAGAACATGTCTCAGAGGGATTTGGGACAGCGGGCTTCAGATTAGAATCTGGATCCAGCGGAGGTTTCCTCCTCTTCCACACACGTGACCTGGTGCCCTCCAACGCCAAGCCTGTTACCTGTTGGTCTGCTTAAAGCTCATCCACTTGTAATATTATTACAAAGGGTAAAGTTGCTAGCTTAAAGCCAGTGAATCTGGATGATTGTCCTCTTAGTCCATGTGGGAAGACTGCCAGGGTTAAGTGAGCGTGGGATTTTCACTCTGTGCCAGTTTTAGTGAAATCCCTAAATCAGTTTTTCATAGCTTGGCAATTGGAACCCAACAAACAACCTAAATTTAGATTTTTATGTGACCAGATGGAGGTCTGAGTTGTTTAAAATGACTGATGGTATTTTGTGCAGTAAAGCCTCTGGCTCCAGTGGGTGGTCAGTAGCAGTTGTTAGTTTTGGGTGTGAAGAGCAGCAGGGGATTAGGTCTTCAAAGTAGATTTTGAGGGATTTAATTGTTTTTGGGGCAAAATAACTGGAGGCTCTTGTTCTTGGGGAGCGTGGTTTGAAGATTCTAAGCCTCAGGAGCCTTTGTCAATTTCTAACCCCTCAAAGATCTGATGAGTTTTTTTTTTCTATTACTCACATCCCACTTAATTTTCGTTGGTTATTTAAGTGTGGCCATGTTTTCTTTGTAGTCAGTAGCAAAAACTTGTTTTTCCATAACAGTCCTGCTGCTGGGATGAGGTGTGTTGTTTTTTTTTCCCTTCTTTCTTCAGCTTCATCAAATTCCGTTGATTTTGCAAAACTGCAATGGAAACACTTTTTTTGATTGGATTCATATAGCTTTAAATGCCCCGACCCTTCACTGCTGTAGACTCAGACATCTGACCTACAAAGAACTACCTGCCACTCGATGTGGAGGCTTTAATGGAGTAACACACTCACATATTTGATAATCACTAGATATTTTTAGTGTCAGTAAGGTATTTAGAAGTTCATTCAGACCATCCATCTATTCCTTGTCAGGTCACAGGGATACCGGTTTAAATAGGAAGACCCAGAATTCCCTCTGTCCAGCTACTTGAGCCTTCTGTGATCATCACAGTGATTCCTCAGACAGTGGTACAAATAACTCACAGCAGAAAGTCAGAAAATACATATTCGGAAAGCTGTGTCTTTATATTCATATATTATAGGTTTTAGGGTGAAATTGGAAACAACAAGAAGTTTCTGGTAGATATCTAGTACTGCAAGCATTCAGTAGAAGCAGAATGGGGCTATGCACCACTGGAGTATCTCCTGGCTTACTTTAGAACAGTACAATCCAGTCTATTTAGATGTTGTTAGCCTAATTAACTGCGTCTCAGTCCCGCAGGCCAAATCCACGAAAGTTTGTTTCCACTTTAACTGTAAGTACAGAACAGTAGGCTGAAAGTTTAGAAGCGATTCCTTAAGTCCAACATCAAAGAGTTGTGCTAAACAGCCTCAAAACTTTCTCAAAGCTCTAATTGGCTTTAAAACTCCACTCTGAGCGCACACAGTAGTGTTGCGTAAGAGAAGAGAGCCAGCCCGGGGTCAGCAGCGCTAATTAACGTCTTTGTTTTGCTACTGTCGGCCATTGTTCACTCATATCCCCCTATGCTGTCTACTGAAACCTGTTCCACAGAGGAAACCCCACAGCGCTCACTCCTGTGTACCTGCTGCTCACCATCACCACACAACAGGGTGGGGAAACCCCTTCAGTGTTGTTTGTTCAGCCATATGCAGCAACACGTGGCGAGCCCTTAGCTCACCTGAATGCTTCCTGGCATGTGTTTAGTGGAGACTCCCACTGAATTTGGATTTCCCAAAGCTCAGCAGATATAAATTCATAAAGAAGTGAAATCTCCTTTAGTGTTCTGGATCTGCTTTTTGCCACACAGAACAGATTCCTCTAAATATATGCAGACGTAAACAAGTTCAGCCTAGTAATTTGGTATTTTGCAGCAGATTGTAGTTTTTATTTTTTTTTAACTTTTTGCTACAAACACAACAGGTGATCAAAAAAAGATAGATCCATCAATCTTTTATGCGTGTAGCAATACCAAGCGACTGCAACATGCAACATCAGGAAAAAGGAGCACGAGAAACTGGAGAAATACCAGGGCCTCAGGGAAGAACTGGAGAGGGCCTGGAAGGTGAAGACCACAGTGGTGCCTGTGGTCATCGGGGCCCTCGGGGCAGTAACCCCCAAACTGGAGCAGTGGCTACAACAGATCCCAGGCCTCTGGTAGAGGACCCGAGCTCAGAGGATAAGAAGGAATTTTTAAATTTTTTTTTATAATGAGTTTACTAATGCATAGAAAAATCTCATTGTAACATATAATCTATATAAATATAAATGATGTGTAACAATTTTATGTTTACAACTGTAATACCTATAATAATTTTGTGAATTGTCAAATTCAATTATAGTAAAAATTACATTTTACAATTCTGTATTGTAAACTAAAATATAACATTTTGTATTGCAAAATTATAAAATTTAAAAATATTAAATTGAAATATTTTTAAATTGTGAATTGTGAATTTTCATATTTAGCATTTAACTCCTGCAGATGGCTTCATGAATGTTCCTGTCTGGAGAATACTGGGGCAAACTGAGGCAAATCAAACAAGTTGGTTTTAGAAAAGTAAATTCATCCTCTCCACTCGCCTGGTTTTGCTGTGAGCAGTAAACACTCAGGGCGTGGGGGTCGGAGGTCGCCCGGGTGGTAGGCTGTGGTAAATTGCCAAATTCACATTTAATGAAAGAAAGCGTAATCTGGATTAGTTTTGTTAAGCACCGTTTCCCCTGGGCCAAATGGAGACGGGGGAGGGACGAGCCAAAAACGCTTTTCAGCTGGAATAATTAAGTCTTTGCCTTCTCTCTTCCTGCAGTTAATTAAGACGAACGTCCAGGCTCTTCATATTCGCCTCTTCAGCTAAAGGAGGAAGAACAGCTGCAGCTTTTCACTGAGTTCACAGAGTTTCTGTTGTTATGGTGCATTTTGTTGCTTGACCGGATTCAGCAATCACGTTAGTTTCTCATTTGACTCGGCTAGTCAGACGTTTTCGGTTACTTTCGTGCTGTCGCGAGATGTGGAAAGAACAGAACGGAAAGAGATGGCGGAGCTGCTAAATTAAAGTTAAAGTCAGATGTATTTTTTCCATCATGTCTGTCTTTCAGTCCCTGAGGATCTGTCCCTGGAGGAGAGGGATGAGCTGTCCAGCATCCGGCAGAGGAAGAGGGAGCTGCTCGATGACATTGAGGTGCGTTTTTTTTGTTTTTCAGGAATTGGTCGCAGCGCCAGCTGCTCAGGCCTTCATTTATTATTTCTCACTGGGGTTTGCAACAGGAAACACTAAAAACGCAAACACTTGAGTTCTAAAAGACACAAAGTGAACGATGAGACACTTCGTTTGGTGTCTGTTGAGATTCTGTTTCGCCGTTCTTGTTTTAGATTCAAAAGAATAAACCACAAATTTAATTGAGCACAGATATATGTACACTCCTTCAAGTTGGGTTGTTGTGTAGAATTAAAACTAAATCTGCAGTAAGGCAAAAACAGAAAAACAGAAAGTAAGGAAAAAGATTGAATGGTGATTAAAAATAACATACTCAGGTTCAAAACGGAATGTTCCTGAGGAATGAGCAGGAAATTGGAAGAATGTACAAACTGTGCTTGTATATTTATGAATAAGAAAACAACAACAAACTAATTGAGTTTGTTGGAGAGATGATTCTATGAGCTGCAGGGAGGAAGGGTCTGTGATTGCGCTCCTTTGATCATTCAGGATACAGCAGTTTGTCTTTTTCATCCACAGAGATCTGGATTCATGGTGCCAAAAGTTACAAAATGTTTGTGGGAAAAGTCTTTCTGTTTTACTTTTCTCTGTCCTTTGTTATCATTTATGCCCGTGTCCAACAGGTTTGCACACTCCAGTTTCTTGGAGTGTGCAAACCTTAATATTGTCTTCCCTTTCCTTTTTTATTTTTGGTGAAATAAATAAAAAAGTTGCCTCTGTAAAAAAATAAATTGAGAGAAGGTTTTCAAGTTTCCTTTTTTTTTTCAGATTATCTTTATAACTCATCTTCTCTGCAGGGTTGATATTATCCAGGTATTCAAAAAGCATTTATTTAATTTCCCTTTTTGATAAATAAAGTATTTTTGAATTGAATTTGAATTGAAATTTCATGGGAATCAACAGCTCTTTGTCTCTCCTCCACCTCTCTGGGTCTATTTGCATGCTGCAAATGTCCCAACTGAAAGTCTTTGCGCAGCCAGGTTCCTCATTCTATCTGATGTATGTCCCAGGGCGAACGTTGCTCTGGTCTCTGTTTTGACACAAAGACAGAGAACGTCTGGATGATGATTTTCTTTCTTTTTCCCAGAGGCTGAAATTTGAGATCGCAGAAGTCATGACAGAGATTGAACAGCTGACGTGTGTCGGGGAAAGGTAGGTCAAAGTTCACGGTTATAGTTGTTTGGATATATTATGCTAACTTGTATTTTGTACTTATGGTAGTTTCTGTGTACGGTTTCTCTTCTTGGTAGACCCTCTCTGTGATTTCATAGATTTTATTTGTTCAGATGGGTTCTAATAGGGCTGAAATGATACCGCAAATGCCATTAAAAGTCGAGGTATTATTAAAACTCAACTATTAAAATTCCTCGAGAAAAATTGACCTGCCTTGGAGCTTTGTTAATTTATGTTTCATTATTTAGCGCACTGTTTTCTGGCCGGGACATTATGTGTGTCACGCGGAGCTCTGACTTCCACCTCTGAGTTGTCGACGGAAACTAAATGACTGGAATTATAACAGCAGCTTTTATCATGATGATTATTCTAAAAGTTAATAAAAACACAAGATTTAAAATCACAATATTGCATCAGACCAATAAATATATATATTAAAAATGTAATAAAAAGTTTAATATCCGCATAAAAGCCCTTTTTTAAAAACATATTTTAAAAACTTATACAACACCGGATGTATAAGTTTATTCAATATGAAAATATACACTTGAATATGTCAAATTGAGGTTAGGTGATATATGCATGAAAGTTATTTTATATAATTGTGAAGTTGAATGAAAAGCATATATGTTTGTTTTTTCTGTGGTACAAAATGAATAAACTTCCTCCATGTTTAAAGAAGGTGGTGGCAGCATCATGCTGTCCCTTTAGCCAGAACCTGATCAGAGTCCATGGATCTCAGCTAGAGGTTCTGCGATGAAATGCTTCAGACCAGTGCATATTCATGTGTCAGAATGGCCCAGTCAAAGCCCAGGCCTAAACCCCAAAGAGAGCTGAAAGCTAACAATGGACACTTCCAGGACCTTTTCGTCCTTTCATTTAAAAGATGTAACATCAGCAAAAAAAGCTTGACACAAGCTTGAATATTCAGATTTTTGTTTTAGAGTTTTATTCTAAAACAATTTGAAAATTATATACACTTATTTACATTTATTTATTTTTGTAAAATCAATTATCAAGCTGTGTTTAGCTTTAAAATATATATGGAAATCTAAATGTGTTGGCACTAAAATATGTCTCTGTATGGGATTCATTTCCTGCAGCCTTTTGCATAGATAAACTATACCAGCTGCTGTTGACAGGAAGTGTTGGCAGCAACGTTCTAAATGATCTTCACTTATTTCTGTTTGTTTTTTTCAGTCAACATAATTACAGTCTTTGTCGTTTTCCCCTCTTTGCTCCAGATAGAATTATCCCAGTAAATAGTTCATATTATCATGTCATATTCACGTCTGCTTTGGATTAAATGAAGCTCTTGTGTGCATGTTGCAGCAAAACGTCCCAGAGGAACAAGCAGATCGCCATGGGCAGGAAGAAATTCAACATGGATCCCAAAAAGGTTCGGAGTTCTGTTTCCATCAGAACCGCCAGGCTCAGACTTACTCAGCTGTGAGAGCAGGAATAAATCGATTCAATAATAGCTACAAAAATATATTTATTTCTGTAGTTTTATGGAAGGTATTCAGAAACAGCACAATAATACAAGTTATTCCGAGAGGATTAGGAGGAATGGAGTATATATATATATTTTTTTTATGAAAGATATTCGTACAATCTATACTGTCACGTATTTTGATATAAGAGCATGCTGACGAATAGCATAAAGGAGTGAGAAATAAAAAAAAAAAACTCTTCTCCTTTTCCGACAAGTATGGAAGCTTATGTTCCAAAACAGTATTTTTTGTGGGTATTTTTTTATTTATTTGTTTGAAACAAATAAGGAAGAAGAAAGAACTGTCATTTCCACATGGGCCTGAGATGAACGTGCGTGTGTTTTTGTCGTCTCTCTCGCTCTCCTGCAGGGAATCCAGTTCCTGCTGGAGAACGACCTGCTCCAGAACACTCCGGAAGACATCGCCCAGTTCCTCTACAAAGGCGAGGGCCTCAACAAGACCGTTATTGGGGACTACTTGGGCGAGCGGTGAGGGAGAAATTCCTCTTTGTGCGAGATTTACACCCACCTTTGTGAGTTAAAGAAGATCACTGTCTGTGTCGACTAATTAAGGAGAAGATGACTAAATCTGCCAGAAAAATGAAGCTTTGAGATGGAGTGGGTGTTTTGTTGTATGAAGCTCCCCATATGGACTTAAAGCTGGTCAAAAAAAACCAACCATCTAGCTCCTCACACCGCAGGCCTGACTATAAAAATACTACAAGTCAAAAGTTTAACAGGAGCAAGGCTTATGAGATAAAGTTAATACAGTTAACACAGTATGAGTATGGGGCTTAAAGTTTAATCACAATATTTTAACATAATAAAAATGACAACAAGAACCATTACCTCTCTTTCAGATAACTTGTATGATTATTTTCTGTACACAGACTTTATCAATATTCAGATATTGTAAAAAAAACATAATTTAGATTAAATAAGAGATGCAATTAAATTTCCTATCCGTTTACAAACAGTTTGTTTCCTAATAAAAAATCTCTAAATTTGTTCTAATTTAGAGATTTAATTTTCATCTTAAATATTAAGGCAGAAATTGCTCCCAATTTTTGTCTTAATATTAAAATCACAAACATTTGGCTCAAATGTCTGATTTGCTAGAGATTTAGAAAGAGCATCAACAAAATCAAAACATATTTGGCAAAAAACATAGGAATTGTGCTTCGACAGAGGAGAGTGAGCAGCTGCAACAAGAAGAGCTGTTTGGAAAGAGGAGGAGCTTATTTGCATATTCATAAAGAAGAGTCCTGCATTTTAAATGAGTCCCAGATGCAGAGCTACGTTGCAGATGTTTAAATGCATGAAAGGATTATTTTTAAACTACATCAACCTCAGCAAGAAACAGAAACATTAATATTGAAAACACTATTGGGACTTTTTTGTACTGTTGCTTAGAAAAACAATTTTTGATTTCTAACTTAAAAAAACAAAAAAACAAAACATGTTCTTGCCAGCAATAATTAGCAAACAGCTGTTGGATCTGCACATCTGCTGAGTTCATTATAAGAGCTACTTCTCAGAGCAACGCTGGTAAGAATGTTGTTAAAGGGTTAATAGAGGAGCCATGTTATGATGACTTCCTGGAGGGAGAGTTTCTTAAAGTGACAGAGATCCAATTTCAAAGTGCTACTTTTCAAAGTCAAATTTTTTTTAAGTCATATTAATAATACATATAGCATTTTTTTTAACAACCAAAGTTAACATAGTTACTTGATAATGCTACAAAAAGCCACAAAATGTGGCTTGAAAATACATAATAATGCTTCTTTAAAGAGAAATGCCCTAAAACCATTATTGGCTGGTTAAAACTTTATATAAACAGGATGTAGGGTATCAGCCGATTTATCAGGGATTCAGATAACCGATAAGTGTAAAGATAGACTCTAATGACCACAGAAGCTTGCTTGTGCTTCTGTTTTATTTTTTACTTTTTATCTTTATCTTTATCTCCCAAAACCAAGAGAACAAAGACGGTGATGATTTCAGGTGTGCATTGTTCTGCATGGAGCTGCAGGAACGACTCCGCTTCTTCTTTGGTGTGTTTACCAAACAGTTAAAGCACATGGCGCTTGTGCATCTGCTTTTGCATTTGTGGTCACACATTAGATGATTTACTGAAGGCTTTATTCGCCGAGAATCATCAAAGAGGCCACCTACCCATTGAAGCCACATGAAGCACAAGCTAAAGGGTCTGCACTCAGTAATTATCACTAATTAAACTAATACAAGAAGCAGGAACCTATCATTACATGCTGAGCAGTGGCCAAGATGAAGATGGGGAATCGTGCAAATGAGCTCTGATTTTTATTGCATTTTACTGTCAGCTTTACAAACAGCTTTCTTCTCTCAACTTCCTTCGCAATAATGGCGTCTGGAAACTCGTGTAAACCCTCGGAGGACCGCCGTCTTTAGGTGTGACGGACAGAAAGCAATAACTGCTCCGCCCTGGCTGCAGTTAAAGATACAAACAGGCAATAAGCAAAAAGTCCACACTCTACCTCCGAATACAGCACAAAATGTTATTGAAATGTGAGATTATTACTGTGTTCAGACACATATTGGCTCACAGAATGCAAACATCTATGTCAGAATAGTTTTGGTTTGGCTTGGAGACGCACATGCTCGGATTTTAATGATAAATATGGTGACTACAGAAGCAGGTAAACTTGTCGTCTGACAGTCCTGAGCCGCCTTGACAAACTAATGACAGAGAAAGAAATGCTTAGCGGAGCTTTATGAACGTTTCTCCTCTAAATCAACCCGCTGCTTCACCTGCTTACAGGAATGCAGAGAATGACTTTCTCCCTGCATTCACATCAGCTGCGTTTCCACTTACCATAAAATTTAAGTTACAAAAATAAATTTGCCGATTTGGAAATGCTTCACATTTTCGACAAAACGTTTTTGCGCTATCACCTCAAAAACTGTTTTTTCACCCGTATTAAAATAGATGTATTTCACAAAACTGCAATGACAAAAAAAATTTTACATCACGTGAGTTATGTGAGCAACAGTTGGATGTTACTACTGGTGGAAACCATAGGAAGACGTTTTTTTTTTTTTTTTTTTTCAGACAATGTCTCACTGGCTTCTCCAGAGCTCTCACAGCATCACACAGATTATAAAAAGTTGTGTAATTACTGTAATTTTCCCAAAAACTCTTCATATGTAGCTGCTCCCAAGTAGGCGGGGCTTGTTGCTTCAACACCTGAATAAGACGCCAATGTCTCCTCTGATTGCCTGATAGATGATGAGAGTTGTGTTTTTCCACGTTAGCCGAACATAGACAAAAATTTACACACATTTGTAATGGAAACACAGCTCTTGATTCATCAAAGATTGATGAATCTTGACATAAAATCAAACTCTAAATTCTCTTTTCTAATCTAGGGATGACTTCAACATCAAGGTGCTTCAGGCTTTTGTGGAGTTGCATGAGTTCGCCGACCTGAACCTCGTCCAAGCTCTACGGTGAGAAGACACATCTGCCTTCCTTGCCTCGTATTCAGAGAGAAGAGAAGGTCTAATATTAAACACATCCTGTCACATTCTCCACTGTTCAGGCAGTTCCTGTGGAGTTTCCGTCTGCCAGGTGAAGCCCAGAAGATCGACCGCATGATGGAGGCGTTTGCCTCGCGCTACTGCCAGTGCAACCCTGGAGTCTTCCAGTCCACAGGTCAGACGAACCGCCGCTTACAGATTCCTGAATGCTTCTCTCAGGTGTTCCATCACAAAGCTGTCAGATGAGCTCCAGCAGCTCTTTGAGTGTTTCTCCAGCATGACAAGTGTTAGTAGTAAGGGGGAGGGAAGCGGCAGGACTGAGAAAACACCAGAAAACACGGGAGATGAAAGCAGACGTGGGTTTTTAGCCTTTCCTGTGTCCATATTGGTCCAAACTGTACAACAAAATAGTGACTAGTAACATATTTGAATGGGATTTTGTTTTTTATAAAACATACTATCAACTCAAGACAAAGTAGCATCAGACAGTGACGTGAGAGAAAGTGCTGCATCCATCACCTTTCACCGCAGTTACAGCTGCAAGTCATCTGTTGTCGCATTTTCGACAGTTCTTTTTCTAAAACAACCAGTACTCAAGTTCTGAACAACCGTCCTCCACTGCGAAGAGAGAAGAGCTGAACAAGACGACTGCGAACGTTTGGGAGATTGGCCAACACAGACTGAACATCTTTGTTCACTTCCTCTGCTGCCTTTGCTAAAACTACAGGCAGACTACAATTCTAAAACAGAGCAGAAAATGGACGTCACTCCTCACAACTTCTTCTGTTCTCTGATTGGCCTGGTCAAAAATCTACCATCCATGGGAGAAATTCCAGACTCAGATACAAGAAAAATAGCACAGGAATGCATTAGCCAGTGTAGTATTCTTTTACTGGACGGAAAACATTTCGTTTAAAAAAAAATCAAGAAAAAAGAATTTCACCCTTGCATGTTTTTGTGGACAACAAAAACGCCTCTTTTCATTAAACGCTGATCTATTGGCCCGACATCTGAACTAACCAATAACCCCAAACATGTCATACGCATCATACATAACAAAGGACCCAATGTCCATAGCTACCACAGAAAAAAAATAATGCATAAGGATTTCCCTCCTGCTTTGTTATTCACCATTTTTGTTTTCTTGTCTTGTTTCGTGCTATCCTTGTGTGGAGGCTTAATGTGCACATCCAATGCTCTATGTTTACTGCCACTTACAGGCCTGGAGGAGTAACAAAAAACCAAAAAAGTATTTTGGACCATTCTAGATGTTAAATGAAACAATTTCTGAAGATGGTTTCTTGTGGAGAGGGGTGTTTTTGAAACCGAAAAACCCCCAAAACATTCCCGTGTGGGAGATATCTGACAGGATATCAGATTGGAGAACTAAATTCCAGTGTGGGCCACACTCTTCAGGTATTTGTTTTAGAAGAACATTCAAAACCTCGAACCCTTTGACTTTCTATTCACCAATATGCACTTGTTTTTGTTGGCCCGTCTCATAAAATCCCATTCAAATACACTCCAGTTTGTGGTTCTGATGTGTAAAATAATCTGGAAAATTTCCAGCGTTTTGAATATTTTTGCCAGCCACTTCATCTGCAGCTGCACAGTAAACAACAGCAACAAACAAGGGTCATTTATAATTCAGGAAGAGTCAACCTGACTGAGTGATACATGCTGTTGTGATAAACAATGGCCTGCAGATACATCTAGCAGTGAATATTTAAAGGGCTTTTAGAGACCTGGTGAACAACAGCAGAGACGCTTCATCTGCTGAGAAATGGATGCACAGTCATTAGGTAAAAAAAATATTAGAAAAATATTGATGGCGTTTTTTTTTTTGGGTATTTTTTTCTTTTCATAATTTCCAGATTAAACAGGTTATTGAACTAAATGCACGTGTTTAATCCCAGGCCTCCGCTGGGAAAAAACTCCCCACAAAAACGACAGGGACATTTTAATGAGTCAGAGTGGATGTGGGACAGAGCGTTACCATGGGACCTCGACTCTGACAATGCCGACGCACTGAGCTCATAAAAACAACATGATCGCACATCTTTAATTACCACCAACACATGAAAGTGGCCTGTCTTCTCCTGCTTTGTGGGACTACATGAAAATTCCTCTTTCACAAAAGTCCCCCTGCTGTGCTGTGTTCAGTAGAGAGAAGTTTTTTTTTTTTTTCTATTTTACAAAAGGTGGAGGGAGGGAGGGCGTGGAGCTGAGAGAGAGACAATGGGACTGGAACAAACAGCTGTGTGAACTAGAACATTTCTGAAGAAATTTAACTGGGGTCTGCCAAAGTGTGCGAGTCGGTTTGATGCTGAAAATTAGCAACAACACTGAGGTGAATTAAAATCTAGTCAATAGCATGTGGAGTATCATTATTATGTTGACTAACAGGGACTTACTCCATTCTGTTTGAGAACAATTGTGCATTTAACACAATGCAGCCTGTGAATTGACTCCGTCCATCATCTGGAGTTGCTCTGTGAAAAACTCCAGATGACACAGGTGGAGACCTCAACAATCGCCTGGATCTATGACCACCTCACTAACAGACCAGTCTATAAGAAGGAACAGAGCAGACTGGACTTCTTCAGGAAGCTAAAATCCTTCCATGTTTGCAGCAAGATGCTGCAGCTCTTCTATCAGTCTGCCGTTGAGAGCGTCATCTCTTCTGCTGTCATCTGCTGTGGCAGCAGCATCAGAACCAGGCACATAAAAAGAGCCACCAATCACCACGTACAATAACTCTTTGTAGAATTTTAATTAATTAGTTATAACAACATTTAATTTCCTCTGGGGATCAATAAAGTATTTTTGAATTTTAAATAAATGTGAATTATTTGTTACGGAGCCCCATAGGGGACATGGCGATTTTTTTTCTTTTGTGTCTCCTCGCAATACTTTTGCGTCCCCTTGCGAGGGGAAAAAAACCTTTTGTTTTATTATGAAAACCTTGGGAATTTTATTATGTATACATCAAATAATAAAGGAGTGAAAAATTTAAGCTCTCAAAAACAATGAATTGTCAATTAATCAATTGGTCATGACTGATGATGAAGGGAGCTAACTCAATTTATCTCATTATAAAGAGATAGCTATATCTCATGTTAATATAAAAAATTGATACAGGCTGCATAACCAATATAAAAAAAGAAAACATTTCTCATATGGTTGTGTGGGCTCCACAGTTGTGCAGCCCACACAAGGGCATTATAGAAAAAACTGTAATGCTCCACTTGTGAAAGTATGTTAGGCTTCACCTTGACACTCAGACAAAAAACAAAACAAACAAAACACAACATTCCCACATCAACCAATAATGTATTAATTTTTATTAATTAAAATAAATAATTATTTATTAATATAATTCATTTGATTTAATTAAATAATATAATTATTTATTTGTTTACTTATTAATCCCTTTGGGATGAATAAATCTGTCATTCCTTTGTCCGAATCACACCAGTCTTTGAAGTGTTACTTTGGAAACTGACACACTAAACTGGCTCTCTGGGTCCAGCAGGTTTATTGGGTCACTAGAATCACTTATTGGCACATGAAGTAATCCAGTAAATGAGCGCACAAAGTCAGAGTCACCACTGTTCTTTGAACAGGAACCAGTCCAAACAGAGGATGAATTGTTATCGGTAAAATGTTTTAATCCCCATATTTGCATTATCACAGCACAAGCATGCTGCTTTCTCGCAACACAGGAGGCTTTCCCTGCACATATTTAATACGCAATACAAAATAGTTCACCCACAACATAATAACGATATCACGAAGGCCTCACAACATTTACTTTTTCACTCAAAACAGATTTTATTGGGCCAGCTACACCTTACTTTTTTTTCTCTTGTGTCGCCACCAGATGTCACTAAAACGAAGCTGTCATTGAATGCTTTTCATTATTTTGATTTAGATTTTTTTTAATTCACCTTTGTTAATTTAAGAAGTGGGATTTATACATAAACTTCAGTTTTGGTAACCCTGACTAGGATGATGTGATTTTTTTTCAGCCATGTCAGAATTGGTTTATTTAGCGAAGCCGCAAACACCTTTTTCGCATCATACGAGTCACATGATCAACAACCCGATATTACTGCTTGTGCAAACCACAAAGAAGAAAACGGCAGGAAATGGTGGGAGGACGGTGGGGCGGGTCGAAATATTTGTAATGACTTATTGCACGAACAAGCTTATTCACCTGTGATTTTTAATTGGTTTTCTTTTTCAATGAAGAGACTGTAATCGCAAAGTTGTGATTTTCGACACTAGCGGGATATCGACAAGGATTTGTGCACATTTGTAATGGAAAGGCAGCTAATGTTGCTGTTTTACACCCCAGAAAAAAAGGAACTGATAAATTACCAACTAAATATTGATCAACTTAAAGTAACGTTTAAATTTGAAAAATAAAAAAATGCTGTTTGTCAGAGACTAATGGGGGGAGGTTATAATTAACATATTCAATCTTCTCCTGTTGCAGATACCTGCTATGTGCTGTCATTCGCTATCATCATGTTGAACACCAGTCTACACAATCCAAACGTCAGAGACAAGCCCCCTGTCGAGCGTTTCATCTCCATGAACAGGGGAATCAATGAAGGAGGCGATCTGCCGGAGGAGCTTCTCAGGGTGAGAGTTTGTAATAGGCGTGTGTGTGCGTGTGTGGGTGCGTGTGCGTGTGTGTGCGTGTGTGTCAGTCTTGTAGTCAAGAACACCTAACCCGAGACCAAGACAAGACCAAGACCGAGGGAAGACCAAGACCAGCGCCCCGTGCTACATGACACAATAAAATGCGAAATATGATCAAAATTGCTCATCAAATTGATCTGAACAATTTACATTCCCATAAAAACACTTGGATATTAATTACTTTGAGCTAAAATAAATTTAAAAGCAGAACAAACTCTATGTTTTGCTTATCTAAACATATAATGCCCTGGGCATTTGCCCACATCTTTCATGTCAGAAATCACCACTGTCTGCACCATTAAACATAGCAATTGAGGCAATGACCTGACAGTAAACAATGCTTAACTATAAACACTGACCACAGAGCAACAAGCAAGAAGTAACCAAGCACAAGGCGTTCACTGTGACTGTTCTCACCCTCTCTCCCACTGCATGAAGCCAGGCAGCACAATGCTGCAATGTCTGCCATCATGGCAGACATTACCTCGAGACGAGACCATTGTCTCGGTCTCATCTCGAACTCGAACGCATTTGAGTCAAAAAATGGTCTCGAGACCAAAAACGGTCTCAAGTACTACAACACTGGTGTGGGTGAGTGTGTGTACGTGCGCGCACGTGTGTGTTTGTGATAATTGATAATCTATAATGCCTCCACCTCTTGTATTCAACACAAATGAGCCATGTTCTCCCATACCCCCCCAGTTTGATTAATAGTTTTCCTGCCTCGTCTGCAGAATCTTTATGACAGCATCAAAAATGAGCCCTTCAAAATCCCAGAGGACGACGGGAACGACCTGACACACACATTCTTCAACCCGGACAGAGAGGGCTGGCTCTTAAAGCTGGGTAAGTGGATTAACAGAACCTGGAGTGTGATGGTTTCTGTCAGCGGAGCATCGGAATTACTGAAAAAAAAGGTGTTTTTCTGTTTTCTGCTGAGTCAGTGTGTTTTTATGTGTTGCTTGAATTGATGTTTGATTTTCAAAAGCAATGCTGGAGGGTGATAGATTTTGGGGGAGGAAAATATATATATATATATATATATATATATGTATATATATATTATATATATATATATATAAATTCCCTTCTCACCCACCGCGGGTGGTTCTTATCCTCTGAGCTCGGGTCCTCTACCAGAGGCCTGGGAGCTTGAGGGTCCTGCAGTATCTTGGCTGTGCCAAGGACTGCACATTTCTGGACTGAGATGTCTGATGTTGTTCCTGGGATCTGTTGTAGCCACTGCTCCAGTTTGGGGGTTACTGCCCCGAGGGCCCCGATGACCACAGGCACCACTGTGGTCTTCACCTTCCAGGCCCTCTCCAGTTCTTCCCTGAGGCCCTGGTATTTCTCCAGTTTCTCGTGCTCCTTTTTCCTGATGTTGCAATCACTTGGTATTGCTACATCTACCACAACGGCTTTCCTCTGTTGTTTATCCACTACGACAATGTCTGGTTGGTTCGCCATTACCATTTTGTCTGTCTGGATCTGGAAGTCCCACAGGATCTTAGCTCTGGCGTTCTCCACCACCTTTGGGGGTGTTTCCCACTTTGATCTTGGGGTTTCCAGTCCATATTCTGCACAGATGTTTCTGTACACTATGCCTGCCACTTGGTTATGTCGCTCCATGTACGCTTTCCCTGCCAGTATCTTGCACCCTGCTGTTATGTGCTGGACTGTCTCAGGGGCCTCCTTGCACAACCTACACCTTGGGTCTTGTCTGGTGTGGTAGATCTGGGCCTCTATTGCTCTGGTGTTTAGGGCCTGTTCCTGGGCGGCCAGGATGAGGGCCTCTGTGCTGTCCTTGAGTCCAGCTTTTTCCAGCCATTGATAGGATTTACTGATATCAGCCACTTGGGTTATTTGCTGGTGGTACATCCCATGTAGGGGCTTGTCCTCCCATGATGGTATCTCTGGCACCTCAGCCTCCGTTCCCTGTTGTCTGAGACATTCACTGAGCACATTGTCTGTTGAGGCTTTGTCCCTGATGTATTTATGGATCTTAGTTGTTTATATATATATATATATATATATATATATATATATATATATATGAAAACCCAATAGTGATTTTTACTCCCCCAGACCTGTAAGCGGCGCTAAACGTTGATTCTGGGACATGTGCATTAAGTGGTTAACACAGAAAGAAAAAAGGAATGGTGAACAACAAAGTGGAGTCTTTTATGTGGAGGGAACACGTATCATATAGAACTAATAAACTACCAGAAGGTGATCAATCAATCAATCATTGCTATCTATGATGTGTTTGGGGTTGTAGGTCAGGTTAGAGGTAGGGCTAATACGCAGCGTTTTCTCATAAAATGTATTAGCCAATCAGAGTGAAGCTATTAAAGGTTCAACCCTGCCTGCGACCTTTGTGTCAAAATCAGAAGCTAAAGTCAGCTGGCAGCAAACGCAAAAGGTCATCAGCAAAACCAAGACGTAAATGTCACAAAGACTCTGAATCTGAATATATGGTATTTACAAATACTTTGTATTCAAGTCCATTTATTTTAGATGTTTCATATTGTTTGCAAAAAAATATAAGCTTGCTTACTTTGTCACCACCACTATTCTTTAGGCTCACTTGAATCCAATCCTTTTACCCAAATAAGTATGCCATTTTTATGAACCTAGCACAAAAATATACCAACCTTCCTTCTTATTAAACGTATGCAATTTATGGATTTCAATCACTTTGTGGAACTCTTTAATAAATAAGCTGTGATAACATGCATTCCAGAGTCGTACTATTATTTATAGGCTTTGGAATCTATTTTCACAGCAACCTGCCAATCTCTACTCATGTAAAACAACTTTAGCATAAGTCAAGATCAGCATGTTTCGGTTTGTTTGGACTTACACTAGTTTCCTGAAGAATTCAGTCTGCTTCCGCTTGGAGGAAGCTTTCCGCCAAGCGGAAGGTCACCACTTCCATCTGCAGTCAGCTGTTATTGCTAACAGGAAGCTAACAGGAGGGTCGTGACCTTGGCAAGTTCTGAACATTTTGCTTTACTCAGCAGTGCAGATTTAGCCATCTCAACTGGATATTTATAGAATCAACTTTGGCACAATTTTATTATTTTATTTAACAAAATAAAGCCCCAAAAGTCATTGTGTGTAGGCACCTAACCAAAACCATCCACTGATTTGAATAGTTTTGATCAGGAACTTGTTCTGTGATGTTTTGGTTTATTTTACCTGCGACAAGGTAAGTTGTGTCTATGGACACGTTTTGTATGCAAATCTCAACATTTATGTTGAAGCACAACTTCCTCCTGTAGACAGCTATCATCATCAAAAAACAGAAAATGCTGTTTGTCTACTTCATGACTTCTGATTTAATTAATTTAGAAGAAATATTAAAGATTTTTGATCCTTCGCCAATTTTTTCTCTGAAAATTCTGCACCTCCATCATGGTTGCTAAGATACTCTTCATAGGTTTGTTGGGCCTGACGTGTCAGTGGTAATTCAACATCACAATCACATCTTTGTTAAGCCTCTCCCATCCCCTCCGCCATGTGCCCACTCTTCTTCTTGGAATCCTTCAGAACTCCTTTGCCTCTGAGCCTTTCTCTCAAATCTCTGTGTTCTTTCATTCTGTTCAGCGTCGGCTGTTCCCTCCTAAATCTTTTGCATTAGGTGGTAGGTAACACTCCGTCCTAGTTCTTCCTCCCAAGCACATTGAGAGTGCCGTAGACTAGCAATAGCTGTCATATCTCTCCGAGCAATAGCTGTCATATCTCTCCGAGCACACCGGGGCCCCAGATGTGCGGGGCACCTCGTAAAACTGGCCTGTTTACCAGAGCTGTGAGGCAACAGAACGGCTGTGGGGTGATGGGTGAAGTCCATCACAGGCAGGCTGGAGGGAACTGATCTGCATGCAGAGTGCCTGGAGTCTTCCGGTGGCTGTGGAGGGGTTTGGGTGATGCACATGGTTTATCTTAGGTGGTGCCCACGCAAAGAACTGATTCCTTTTTCCAAGAACTGCATTCTGCTCAATACATCTTCTCTTTCCTGCTGTTTTTTCCCCTTCTAGTTAAACCAAACGTCTTTAAGTAAGTTAACATTAAGCTTCTAAGTTTTAATGCAAGTGTGAATCTCAATAAATTATAATGAAAAACGTTATGTATTTCATTATAGATTTTGTGTTTGTTATACAGTTATGGACCATTAATTTCTATGCTTTTGGCTCACTGTTATTAAAAATTCAACATGTTTTTGTGTTATAAAATGTGCTTATTACATCGGAAAGATTTAAAACTGACTTTTAATAGATGTTATGGCCTAAACACTGCAGACTTGATGTCAATATCTTCAAGTCTGCATGAGGTGATTACTATGGAAATAGGTTGTTCAAACTGTTTTATCAAAGCATAATTCTGGAAGATTTAGTGAAAGGAAAAAAGGTGGGCAAATAAAACTGTCTAAAACGAAGCAAATAGATTGTCTGGGTTTATGAGGGAAATGTCATAAAAATGGCTAGTAACACCCAAGCAGTATATCATACAGGAGCCCCTAGAATTGAGTCCATATACAGTACGTACATGGACAATATTTTCAGTAAACTATTTCTGTATTAAAAATACATTTTTACTGGTCTTTGAATAATCACATTTTCTGAGATACTGTATTTTAGGATACTATTTAGGCTAGTCAAAAATTAGCAGCTGGGCTATTCTTTGAATTAGCCTAGCCAAGAATTAAAAACTGAAACCTTCTGGATTCCACTCATTTCAGGGTATCTACAATATGGTGTTTTCCTGTAGGTACCGTCAGCCTGTCCACAGGCTTACCATGCAGGTAACCTGGTCATCATGCTGGCCCTCTGCAGCTGGAACCCCGAGCCATGCTTGAGCTTGTGTTGTGGGAATGTACTGCTGCTCATTCAGCATAAAGAACAGCCTTGCCCCTTTTCATCCTCCTTCCTGAGTTGCTTCCCTGCAAACCTCTTGCTGCTTTGTCATGATATCCGCTCTCTTCCTGTTTTGCCTGCTCTCTGACCCAGCTGCTCTAGACCAGAACCATTTTTTCCTCATTAATGCCGCACCCTCTGTAACTCCGCTCTCCATCAGAGCCACTCCAACTGAGTGTAATGAGGGAACATTATTGTTGATGTCTTAATGAAGACACTCTCCTGGACTGTCAGCTCTGTGCTGCTGTGGAGCCTCATGTCTGTGCTCTCGTAACCCTCTGCTGTTACCAAAGGCGGAGACGCCTGCCGTCACCGTGTCTGATCTGGTCATCATCAAACCTGGGCAGCATGTTCCCCTTACTGACACCAAGGCATGAGAGTTACAGTTACCAAAACTCATGACTTCAGAACCACAGAAATGTTCTGTTGGACCACTTCTGGAGTTTAAATTTTGCCGCCTGTCAGCTGACCGACTATAGTTCTCACCTGTTTAGATTAAAACAAATATGTTTGGAAAAAATGTCAGTCTCGAGAAAACATGGGAAATCATGGCTGAGAATCTAGAGGAGTTTTAGATACTAATATTTAAAGGAACAGCATCTCTTAAACATTAGAGATGTTAATGTTTAAGGGATGCTGTTCTAAAACTACTGTTAGAAAACTATGAGCAGCTAGCCCAACTACCAGCTAACATTAGCATTTTAATTTCCAAGCACTACAGGGCAAAACAGCAAAAGGTTATAATGCTCTAAAGAAGCTCTTGAGAATCACTACATTTGTGGATATTTTAGTTTGTTCTATGTTTTAACACTATTAAAAGGAAATGACTGAATAAATAAATAGCTCCAATAACTAACATACATTTGTATAATTGTTGATGCTATTTAATCTATCACCAATAAACATACAACAATAAGTTGACATTGTGCATTTTTGTGTATCTACAGCGATATAGTAAAAAAGCAGCATCATTACAATTGAAAATGTACACACATACACACACACACACGCACGCACGCACGCACGCACGCACGCACGCACGCACACACACACACACACACACAGCCGAAATGATTTCGGTTATTTTCAGGCATCTGGTGAAATCTGGACCTGAAGCCTGTAAATCCAGGAGCCTGTGCATCGCATTGTGTCCGTTTGTGAGGATGACATCAAACATATGGCTGAGGGATATTAGCAGCTGTGTACAGGCTTATGGCTCGACTACTGCGGAATTAGCCCAAGTTCTCAGATTACATCCGATTACATCATTAACGGCAGTTTTTTTTTTTTTTTTTTTTGCATTTTCTACAATGTCAGCAAATACATTATGAACTATAAAATGCAGATTGAGGAATCATTGCTTATATAAAGTAGAGATGGGGTAATTATGATCCAATTAAGTAATTCTATTACTTTAGTTTAAGAGAGATTTTACCTCATGTAACTCAAAGAAAGATTCTGGTCAGATAACGATCAATTGGACTTTCATTAGAACAATCCAGACACATCAGTTTTCTGCTCCAGTCAAACTCACAAACGTTTTGGCACCGCCTCGTCAGAGATGGTGTGTGGCATTATGCTGCAGCCGTCATGTTGGAGCTTTTTTTTCCAATGGTAACACGGAGTTCAAATGACTTCACAAACCTCCCCTGCTTCCCGCTGGGAGCTGGGGGGGGAAGGAGGCTTCTAGATGCCCCGATCCAGACTGAGGATCAGAACCAGATGTAGTACATGAATAGTACATGAAGCTGGGGTGTGTTGTATGTTACCTTCTACTGTGAACAAAAAATAAATAAATAAATACTCAACTGGCAACTCGGCGTAAACTCAAATGCCATCTATTTCTTCCCGATAGGCGGCAGAGTCAAAACGTGGAAGAGAAGATGGTTCATCCTAACCGACAACTGCCTCTACTACTTTGAATACACAACAGTAAGTAGCAGCAAGTACATTAAAGGGCAGAAATAATCTTCCTGTTGTGCTAATAGCATAACAGGACAGGTTGAACTACTTTTAACTTTATATTGGATGTTATATTATATTAGATATTTATATTACTAATGCTTTAACTTTATATTTGATATAAAAGAAATAAAATACAAGATGATGTCAGCTGGGAATCATGTCAAAGAAAGCATTGGTTCATTATTTGTCGCAGACTGTAAAGCACACCACCTGGGATCTCCATCTTTTCTCGTCCACACGACAACACAAACAGAGTTTTTTCAAAAACCTCCACATTGGCCGGAGTGTTTTTGTTTTCAGTGAATTAAACAGGATGAAAGGCCGAAGTGCATAAAAATATTCTTGTTTACCCAGCTATCTGGTTACATGTCGACTCGGCCTTTAATAATAAGATGATTTAGCACCTTTTTGCTCATCATATGTCCAACAACTGTTTTATTGAATTCTGTTTGAATCTCAATCCTTATATAGCCTCAAAAGGCTATATGAAAGAATTTGATGCAACAAAAAAAAAAAAAATCTTTTTTATGTCAGTATCATAAAAGACAGTGTCACAAGTCTTTGCCCTCTAGGTTTACTGTTTAGTAGATGTGTCCCTTTGGACTTAAATGAGCCACACTCCTGCAATTAACATGAGACTTGATTGAAAACATCTGCAAAATCCACAGCAACACATCTGGCACTGCAAAGACATAACCCACCTCTAACCCCCCCAAACCCCACAGCCTGGAATCCCCCCGCGTACACCGGCGCCTGTAGAGGTGGTGGGGGTCCACGGTTCACACCGAGCCAGCTGCCAGCCTCCGTCCATGAGGGAGAATCTGCCTCACAGCCACGTGAAAAACAGAGAAACACAATCACTCTACAACAGTAAAGACAGGCGTCTGTCGTCGCTACAGCAACCAGAATGAATGTGGAGCTCAGGGTTGCATCTCCCCCAGGTGATGCAACCCTCATTCTGATCCCCTATGTGACCAGAATGAGGGTTAACCTTCGGCAGGTTTTCGGTTCAGTCAGACTCTCCTCAAAGTAAAGGAGCAATAATACTTCATAGAAGTGCATTGGGTAGGATTTTTTTATGATTATTTAAAGCAATAATTTCTTGCAGTAGAACACTCTCATTCTCAAGAAACTCCCAACATGTTTAGTTTGAGAACATTTAGAAAGAACAAAGACTCAACTAAGAAATTAAAGGAGCAGTAAATTTTATGGTAAACCCACTTTTTGAGCTTTACATCATGTTATAACTTATTCTCTCATCAAAATCAGACCTGAAGTGTTGCTTTGATTCTTCCATTCATGTTTGAGAAATCAATTATTCTTCATGGTAACCATTAGGCTGTGAAAACCCCTGGGTGGACATAGCCCCGCCTTCGGGGACAAAGCTCCTCCTCTGAGCTGCAGCTTCCAAGCTTCCGACTCACAGAGCAGCCCTCCTCCACTCAGCTCCTTCAGACTAGCCAGTAGCCAGAAGCACACACCTGGTGAAACTGCTCATCTCATTTTAAGAGATGAGCAGTGGAATGCTGCTAAAAGCGTTGTTAAAGGGTTGATAGAGGAGCCATGTTGTGATGACATCCTGATGTGGAGTTTCAGAAAGAGCTGGAGTTTTTAAAGAGACAGAGGCCCAAATTTAAGGTATCGCATTACAAAGTCAAATTTCTTTTAAGTGATATCTGATATTAATAGCATTTTTATAACAACTGAGCATAAGACTGTGCTATGAAATCCAATTTGTCTAAACATTTCAGTGTGAGATTATGTCACTCAAACAAAGGATGGATTTGTATTTTATGTGCATGGGTAATAATGTGCTTACCACCCATCTCCATTTTTTGGCCAGATATTTTCTTTTTCTTTCAATGTTCAGGACTTTAAAGTTTGTGCCTTTTATTTGAAAATCTCCATAAAAAAGAAGCTACATTCACAACCAAAGCAAGAGCAGCGTTGTGACATTTCAATAATCTTTAGCTTCTTCATAAGCAGATGCTATCCTGGTTTTGATTATAAATGGAGGCAAATGCATTCACAAAACAAGCAATATGTTGACGCTGAGCCGGTGTTTTGTTTGTGTCCTCAGGATAAAGAGCCTCGCGGGATTATTCCCCTTGAAAACCTCAGCATTAGAGAGGTGGACGAGCCCCGGAAACCAGTACGGAGTAACACTAGTAGTCCAAGCACCTCCTGTTGCCTAAACAAGATTTACTCAGATATCTCTTCTCAGTTTGTTTCGGTGAAACGCTGATCGTGCCTTTATGATGTCTTCCTAGAACTGCTTTGAGCTCTACAATCCCAGCCACAAAGGTCAGGTCATCAAGGCCTGCAAGACGGAGGCAGACGGGCGGGTGGTGGAGGGCAACCACGTGGTGTACAGGATATCGGCCCCGACCCCAGAGGAGAAAGAGGAGTGGATCAAGTCCATCAAGTAAGACCTGGCAGGTTGGCGCGGATCCATTTCCACTCAGAGGGCACTTAGCCAGCGCCCACATGAGACGTTCACATGTCTGACCTTCACAGTGGGAGAAACAAACACTCACACTGATGGGGACTGCAATCAGAAATACATATATACACACACACGCACACACAGGCTGGTGGCCAAATGTAAACCCACCTCTCACACTTCCATGCAGATAACACTTGGAGGTAATCTTGCTCTTCCAGAGAAGGTCACTTCCCTCTGAGTTCAAAAGCAAAGAGAAAAATCTAAATAGAGCCTCAGAAAAAAAGCACCTGAATGCATCCTTGGAGGTGTTTAAACTTCACAGCACCTGGCCGAAGCCTTTTTCTATTTTATTACAAACACCAACTTACAGTGTGTTTTATTATGATTTTCCTTGATAGACAAAGCAGTGTATAGTTGAAGTGGAGAGACAAGGGTGGATCCAGGTACAGCCGTGAAGTTCATTTAGGAGTATCAGATTATTAGTAATCTGATACTAAAATTGATTTTTCAGATGTAAGATGTATCATTTTTCTTCCACTTCATAACTCTGCACTACCTTGTGTTGGTCAATCACAAAAACGTCCATGCATTAGAGCAGTTTTGATCTTGATCTTGATCCTCTGACCTTCCCATGTTGCTTCAAGCGTCACCTTGGTGACACATTATGGTGCAAATGAAGAAGTCAGTTAATGTAAGTGCACACAATTCACGTTGTGTCTGAGAAGCTTCGGCACATGTTTTATCACATCATTGACTAAATAAGAAATATTGAAGTGGTTTGGATACTTTTGCAAGGTACCAAAGGTCCAACAGCTGCCTTGTTATCCAGTGGGGTTGGGACAGTGGAAATGCTTCTGTAAATTGGACTCAGTGTGTTATTGATTAGCTGCGTTGGCTTTCCTCCAGTCAGCTTCACTTGCACATACAATCGATATCAGAGCAGAAAATTCTATTACTCCTTTCTTTCATTCAGTAATGATGTTATGGAGCCTCTTAGCACTGACAGATGTATATCTGTTAAATGAGAGTGGTGCCGTTTAGTTCCTGAAGTCCTGCTGGGGGTGAGATCGCTTCATGTTCAGAGAGAGAAAGAGAGAGAGAGTTGCTGGTTCGTCTGTGTTTAGAACATTTAGAGTCGGATCCAGAGGCCGTCCTTTTCACTGTGGGAATAATGGCCGTCACAAACTGGACTCAGCAGGGCTGAGCTGTCCTGGCCTAGTCTGGCGTGGACGACTGAGGCAGCAGCCGGCTCCCTGGCAGTCAGCGCATTCTTACACACACGTGTATATGTATACATACCGTCCCAACCTGATTCATCTGTTCACACACATAAACCGGGGAGCGGCATGTCAGCTGCTAATTGTTCAGAGTTTTGTTGAGTGCGACACGAGGCTGTCGTTGCCCTAAAGAGAGCGCGGGCTGATGGGATGTGGAGATGGATTCACTCACCGCACAAAGCTGCTGTAATCGGACTGATTTATTTTGAAAGAAGACGACGCCTGTAAATAAAGAGGCTCGGACTGTTTGTGTTTCTCCACACCCTCATGTTGGTGTTTTCCTGCAAAGCAAGAAACTGTTTCCACCAAATACACTGAACCATCATGCTGAAAAAGAAAGTACACCCTCTCCTACGTCAAGGTTTTGATTGTGACCTTTAGACGCTACACCTGGATGGTATTTAGCAGAAGCTAATACTAAAATGCTAAATATTCATTATGTTGATATCTATCATGTATCAGTTTTTATTTATTATTTAATCACGTGTTTCCTGTACTTTCTGCTGCTACCACTGATCAAAGAGAGGTTTCTAGTCTAACAAAACAGAAAACGTTTCAATCAGAAATGATTTTGTTTATATCCATGTCAGAGCTACAGCTGGGGGACCGTTTCCCCTTCACCCCCGCTCAACCAAAATGCAGCGCAAACACCAAGCAGGAAGCACTTGCTGACAGTTACAAACAACATATTCACAGCGCTGACAGTCTGACCCTTCATAACGAACGTTTGGACACTGCCATTAATCCCTGCCTTCCTGTCCTCCTTCACAGGGCGAGCATCAGCAGGGACCCTTTCTACGACATGCTGGCCACCAGGAAGAGGAGGATAGCCAACAAGAAATGATGACTGAATATCTGGGACTGAGAGTCATTGTGTGTCTGTCTGTGTGTGTGCGTGTGTGTGTGTGCGTGTGTGTGTGTGTGTGTGTGTGTGTGTGTGTGTGTGTGTGTGTGTGTGTGTGTGTGTGTGTGTTTTTCTACGGAAGTTGTGAAGGTCTCCCACTTAGTGATTTCAGGGCTGAGGGACAAGCACAGGCGCAATGGATTCTGGGTCATTTCTGGCCCTGGACTGTTTGCATCTCAAGTCTTTTCTGATGCTAAAGTGAGGAAGAGGAGAGAAAGTGCTAATGAACTCTTCACCGAGCTGAGTTACAGCGAAGAACAGCAGCAGAAGAGACGGTTTTAATAAGGGAGCTTTTACTCTACAAAGCTTGGGAAAGACTGCCCTCTGCTGGACTCCTATGGAACTCAACATACTTCACCTTAATGCAGTGCCTTGCAAATGTTTCCCTAGAGCTTTTTCACATTTTTTGTACTCTATTTTATGTGACAGACTAACACAAAGTAGTGCAAAATGGTAATAATTCCAGGTTTTTTATTATTTTTACTGATAATCTGAAAAATTAAGCATGCAGTTGAATTTAGCCATGCAGTCTAATTGTGCTCTACCAGCTTTGCACTGGTCTGAAACTGTTGCCCATTCTTCTTTGTGAAACAGTTGAAGGGTAGTCAGATTGAATAGAGAGTGTTTCAGAACATCGGCCTTAAAAATAACAGCATTTTATGGCCATTAAAGAAAAAGAAAGGAGTAAGTTTCTGCCAGAAACTTGCAATGTTTTAATCAAAAATCTTCTAGAAAAAACAAGAAAATTTCTGAGCTCCAAAAGTTTAACATTTTTGGAAAGAAATGTTTAGGTTAATCTGCAGACATTTTCTGGAAAAAAATACCTGAACATCTCTGAGTTTGAATAGTTAAAAAAATTCAAGTTTTACAACTTGAAAATTTCAGCTTTTTGAAATTCAGAAATTTCTAGATTTTTCTACAAACATCTTTAAATTTTTAAGACTTAATTTTAAAATCACTTAAGCCCAATTTTTTTTTTGTCAATTTTTGCGGAAAATTTGTAAAACCCAACAATCATGCATTAACGGATTAAAAATAGTGTGTACTTGCTGATTTTGAGTGAATTTCTGCTATTGTGAAATTCCCAAAAAACTGGAAGGACTGCTTCATTCTCGTCTTATGGATTTTCTTACACTTTCTTGCAGGTGTTATAACCTCATTCATCCTTTCTGTCTTCAATGAAAGCACTACCATACCATGATACTACCTCCACCATGTTACACAATTCGAATGAGTTTTGATGAGACTAAACTCAAATGAACCCCATGTTTTAAATTGCACAAATCATGAACTACTTTGTGTTTGTCTATCTCAGTAAAGCAAACAAAATAAAAATGTAAGAAAGTTCTAGAGAATTGAATATATATATAGATATATATATATTTGCAAGACACTGGATAGAGAAGAAAATTCCAAATCCGTTGCCATCTCCTACAACCTTCCTGTTATCCAGGTGGAGGTACCTACTGGTACTCACATCCACCTCGTCTCACTGCCAACAGGTGACAATGTTTTACAGTGAACTCCTGAAAGCCTCAAGGTCATCAGTCAGCTGGTCTCGCTGGTAGCCTTCAAATGACTGTATTATGCAATTCTTCTGATTTATTCTGTAAATGTACTCACATGTACTGTAAATTATAGTGCACCCAGGTAAGTTCATGTGTCGCGGCACAGAAATGGAAACACGGCTGTATAGAGTTTATTACAGTGGCTGTAGCTTTTAAAAGTTCTGAGTCAGGTTCCTGGAAGGACTCTGTGTTCATCTTTCTCACTAGTTTCCAATCTTTTGTATTTACTTTCTCGTCTCACCCTTCAGTTAGTGTATATACAATACAATGTACAGCTGTTTCCTTCGTATGTTTATCTAGTATCGGTCATGTCATTCAACGCTTTAGGCTACAGTAGAAGAAGAAGGACCTTTTCTTGCTTCCTAGTGGAGAAACCAAGAGTCCACACTCTCAATGATGAGAAACAAATAAATGGTGCTGAATTGAAGAAAGGAATGTCACTGTTTTGGCGGTTCATTCCATTGAGTCTAGTGGAGCAGTTGCGTTTGTTATGGTTGTGTGTTGCTTTGGGGAAACCACCTTCAGCTGCTTTGATGTACAATCTGAATAAAAAAGTGACAAACTCCCTACGGGTGACAGGTTCTGTCTTCATGTGCATTCAGTGAGAGAATCCTGGTGCTGAATATTTCCCAATAAAAATTATAGACTTGCATGTTTTATGATTTAGTGGAGTAACAAGATGTGTTTGAGCAGAGATTGTTTTGAATAGCCAAGAACTGTACCCAAGAGTAGAAATACTTTGTCACTGGCATTTTTAAGCTTCATGTTCAAAAAATTGAGTCTGATTTTCAGCTACAGATCCAACACAAGTAGAGATGCTATATGTTGCTCCACAGTGTTGAAAATAGTCTGCCTGAATCTGGGGCCTCATTGAATTAGTTTTCATTTAGAAAATTTCAACTAAATTTCATTTAATTTGTCAACAAATTCAATTCAGTTTATTTATATAGTGCTGAATCACAGTAAATCTCAGCTGAAGGAATTTCATAAACAGGTCAATGCAGTTCAGTCGCATACTTTCCAAATAATGCCAGTTAAATAATGCATTGAATTTGGTTTATTATTCAAACTACTTTGTACAGTTTGGGATTCTCAATTAGGATTTTAAGTATATATTTTTAAAAAGCCTTTTTATTCACAGACCGTGACACTCTGCAGGGTCAGAAAAATATTCAGAAAAGTTGAGTGTTGTTTATGTTTGTAGTAACACAACGCGGCCAGTAGGTGGTGCCACATCTAAACACTGCAGTGGATGTAAAAGATCCAAAAAATCCAGAAATCAGAAGAATTGATTATAAATTCAGTTGGCAAATTATTGAATATGATCTTTCAACAGATTTTTGAACTTTATATTTTTCATTCTTACAGCTCAGAGAATTTTTTTCTTTTTGAGAATAAAGATCCCCTTTTATTTTGAAGTTCTGTGTTCTCTTTTGATGCAGGTTTTGTGCTAAATTCCGTTCCCCCGTTAAACTCTGCTCCCCTGTGTCGGGATCGCGCATTGCGTCACACGTTCCCTTCTGTGTCCAGCTTGAACATGAATGTGCGTAATCCTCAACATATATACTGTATGTACTTGCAGGTGTTTTTCCAGATGGAAGCCCGCATGCGTAGAAAGTTGCTAAGTTCAAGTCCACCACTCGTCCTCTCCGCTGAATGATGTCAGAGACATGACGTCATTCAGTGACACGTTCTGTGCTTCTCTAAGTGTAAAAGTGGAGCAGTTGGCTTTGTTCCAACACCGGAGAAAAAGCTCAGAGCTTTGTAAAGAAAACAAGCCGCAATTACCGGCTGAATTTCATCGTCAAGTATTTCCCCCCTTTTCTTCTGTACATAATAAATGATGCTATTTTCTCTCAGTGAGAGCAATTGTCCCCAACTCATCAAACCTTCCTCAGAGTCATCAGTGTGATTAAGGGAGCCCATTTGGTCCAAAAAACCCACAATCACCCATAATCAATGACATAAAGAAAAACCTGTGGCAGTCTGTGGCAGAGTTCGCTTTATCAACATGATTTCTTTACAAATCATGTTTTCTTTCTTTGGATGAAAAAACACAAAGGTTTGGCAATTAACTTGTGATTTTAAAGATGCGCGATTCACCCTGTCTGAGCCCTCCTAAACGAAACACTAAGAGGCCAACTGACGAAACTGAAACTAGTTATTGTTCCAACAACAGGGCTGCATCGTTTTCCAGTCAAATACTGACGACATCACCCACGTCAATGAAATATTTTAACAATAAAATTACAAACATCTGAACACACTTAACAGAAGCTTTGCGCTTTGATTAAAAAAGCAAGAACTAAAGATTTCAAGGCGTTTTCTAACCTCTTGTTGCAGGTAGCTGGACTACAGTGCTAATACTTGGGTGTAAATGTACAGAAACTGCTAGTTTCATTAAAATGTTTGTCATAAAACAAATCTCCAAATGGGTCATAAATAACTTTTAAAACTCAGGGTTGTTTTAAAATGTACTTTTATAGCTTCATATAGCAGCAGCTTGCTAGGCTGCAATGCTAGCAAATAGAGAATCCCCCTAATGATGGCTTTCTTAAACATTTTTGCCATATAGAGAAGAATATAGAAATATGTCATAAATAATAATTAGTAAAACTTAGCCAAGTTTTAAAAGCAACTTTTCAAGCTTCCTGTTGTAGCTAGCTAGGCTGAAATGCTAGCACTAGATCTACATAAACAGGAACAGTTAAGAATGTGGTTCAGCTTTTAGTTCTAGTTCTCTTATTTCTTGGTACTAAAGCCATCAGCTGCTCCAAACGTTTATTTCTCTTCAGTTTTTGTATCCATCTGACACTTTCCTGAATATGCCGGCTGCAATAATTGATTAGCAACACAAAATATTCACAAATGAAGCACAAGTAATCCCACAAAATTATAGTTCTAGAGTAACTTTCTGCCTTCCTGCAGTAGCTTGCTGTGCTACACTGCAAACACTAGTCTAAAAATAGGAGCAAAGCGGTGAAGTTTTTTTGTTTCATCCTTCTCAGTACCAGACATACGTTTTATTTGTTCTTCCACAAGGTTAGCGAGCTAATAGGCAATGCTAACACTAGAATAGCACCAGGCAAACCTGGTCAAAAAGCTAAGAGTCAGTTGCTGCTGTGCTGGTTTTATTTCTGCTCCTCTGTTTTATGGTACAAAAGCTAACAACATATTATTACTGTACTTTTACAATGTGTTTATTGAACCTTTCTGCTTTTAGGGGGAAGTAAATGTTCGGCCAGTAATGACATCACATATTAGTAAGTATGTGATGTCTGAAAGCAACCTGTTGTAATGGATCAGATTAATACTAAATCATGCAGCATTTTTATAATTTTTGACTCTGCCCTGTTTTGTGTTGGCCTGTCACATAAAAGCGTGATTAAAACACATCTTTGTGGCTGCATTGTGAGAAAATATGAAGAGCCTCACGGGTTTAGAAAACCTGAGGTTTTGCTCGTGTTTTGTGCAAAAACACCAGTCAACAACCATATATATATATGTGCTTACAAATGGTTCCACGCTAAACAGTGGGTCCAAAACACAAACGGGTCCTCGTCAATAGCGTCCACATATTGTCGTACACGCCCACACCAGGGAGACCAGAGGGACTGTAATTGCGAGGGGGACGGTAACAAACGCCGGCCATTGCTTCCTACACCCACACAGCCATCAACGCAATTCCATCTTACTTTGAAGAATTTCAAGGGAGTCGCACGGCGCTCCTGCAGATGAAGGAGGTCCAGTGGTCAGTTTGTGCTGATTCGTGTGAACGCCCCTCTCAGGGAGTCACAGCACACTGGTGAGTGGGAGACGGGCAGGTCTTTTAACTGTTAAGTATCTTTATTTCTGCCTCTCCCTCGTTATGCCCTGGCCTGAGATAAAATGGGAGAAAATGGGAATGAGTCAAGGATATCTGCCTAATGAGAACCTGTGTGCAAAGCACAGGAAATCACCTCATGCTTTTGATTTAGGGAAGAAACTCATTTTCTCTGAGCGGTCTCGGGCGTCCAGATGGATGTTCTGGAAAAAAACACGAGTCAGATAATAACTTCACATTCAGTATAGAGTGAAAAAGCTGCACCAAATGGCGTTCCTATTGCTTAACCGGAGGTCTAACAGGAACAAATGATCTTTCCAGGTTCCCAGTGGCGTTGTAAGTTAGGCCCCGCTGTTCCCAGACTGCTTCACATCAGGGACGCTGAGCTGAGCTGAGCTGAGCTAAAGTGTTGTGTGTGTGTGTGCGAGAACAGACACCAGGTAAAGCTAGAATAACATGCTCCTATAGGTGTAAACAGCTGTCGAAGGAGTCAGAAAGGTAACGCAGAACATGTGTGTCAAGATGTTCCCCCACTCCACGCTCACACATGGAAACACAACCAAAACGCTTTCCAAAGCTGACGGCTCCTCCGCAGGATGTCTTCCACCCACACCGCTGCCCTGGTGACCTGAAGTCAGAGAGGATCCGTGCTATTGGCCGCCTGCTGCCCTTCAGCGAAGCCCTAACGACGCTTGTCTGTCTGCTGTCACGTTTAGCAAACACACCTCCGCTCCCCGTCGCTCACTGTTATTCTTGGTGAATGGCTCCGTTTGTACTCTGTCACTGACTGTACACGCCTGAGGACAATGTGCAACATTTCAACATATTGACAAGACATGCATGAGTTGAAATATTGCCCTGTTTCACAGAACTTAGAAGTTGATATAAAAATAATGTTTATTTCAGCCACAAAATGATTATCCTCAGCAGCAAATAACAAATCCCCAACAACTGATGTGAAGCGTACAAAATGCACACAGCATGTGAGTCGCATAGGTGTCTCCATGACGACACATTACTGTGATTGGGTGGGAAGAGCAGCCATCTTGCCCCTGAGCAGCTGCCGACCAATCTGCATCTCGGCGAGTGAGTCTGTTGGTTGAATGTGTCTCTGGTGCAAAGCGCTTTGAGTGGCAGGTTTGACTCGAAAACTTTAGATAAATTAAGCTCTTTTACTGTATATACTTTACAGGATTTGTGTTGTATTTCTTTACATTTTCATCGACATAAAACATGTTTTCAGGCATGGCAACATCTGCTATGCCGATACAATTTTTTATCTTTTCAAGAACTTCATGTACCTGCAACGTCACCCAACATCTGGTCTTTCTTTTTCAGTCCACTACCACCTCTTTGTCAGTGTTACCGGATTAGGCAGCTTTCCCCCCAACTGGGCTGCTTTTGAACATGTTTGACTGGGAAAACACTTTTGAGATCTGGTTCTGGTCGGAATATCATACAGGACAACCAAAAACATTGTGAATTGAGGATCACAAAGTATATCACTTGTCACACATGTATAAATGCAGTGATTTGGCCTGGGGATTTTGGTGTTGGGCTGCAAACTGTCAGTCGGATCTCTCCCTCTCAGCTGGCACTGAAACCAGAGGCTGCACAGAGGAATCCCTGTAAGTGTCCCCATCCTGGCAACCCTCATCTCGCTCACAAGAATGCATCTATTATCTGGCTCTGCTCTGCCAAGAGTGGATGAGTAAGAGCGGCCTGCAGAAACAGCTGTTCAA